GGCCTTGACCCATCGATCCAGCCTGTCCAGATCCCTCTGCAGAGCCTTTCTACCCTCAGGCAGATCGACACTCCTGGTTTGGGTTGGAAGGGAGCTTTAGAAGCCATCTAGCCCAAACCCCCTCCATTGACCAGGGACATTTTCAGCTGGGTCAGGCTGCTCAGAGCCCCGTTCAACCTGGCCTTCAGTGTTTCCAGGGATGGGGCCTCCACTGCCTTTCTGGGCAACCTGTGCCACAGCCTCACCACCCTCAGTGTAGAAAATTTCTTCCCTATATCATAGTCTGAATCTCCTCTCTTTTAGTTTAAAACCGTTACCCCTCATCCTATCGCAACAGGCCATGCTAAAAAGTCTGTCCCCATCTCTCTTATAAGCCCCCTCTAAGTACTGGAGGGCAGTCGTTATTTCTGGCAGGGAATGAATTGACAGCCTCAGAATAATAAATATCTTTAAGCACCTTGCAAGCTATCCAGAGAATCCAAAATAAACATAAAATCAGTGTTAATCTGCAGAAGTTAGAGGTATTGTGTTATGGTGTCCTAACAGCTGAGCCAAATAAATGTTCTTTTGAGGGGGCTGCATTTGGAAAAGACTGTGTTGAGCAGAAGAAGTTAACTGGTGGTGACACGGAAGAGAAGCAGGAGGAGAAAGGCTTGAGGGAAGCCTTTCAAGATCTGCTGTGCCTAGGCTGGTTTTCTGCTGCAAGCGATCTATCCAGACCCTTCTGTTTTCTCTTTCTAGATCAGTGTGGAAGAGGCAAAAGAGATATGGCGCAACATGAAGAAGCTGGATGGGGATGTAGAGAAGAAATACAAGATAACTTGTGATGGTGAGACAGTACAGATGTGAAATGCTTTCAGATGAAGAGCTGTAGTAAAAAACTAAGTGCATTTGTACTTCTTACTTCTCGCTGTGCACCAGGAATGAGCATCAAAAAGTACAAAATTCCTGTTCTCCTGCCACTAGCTCACCAGGGAGTTCAAAACACGCCCGAAGGCTGGAAGTTTGTTCATTTTTCTCGTTTGGCCTCAGAAAGTGGTGGAACTGCTCAGCTGTGTGTGACTAGCAGCAAAATCGTAGAAATAATTGGTGAGGCAGCGGGCAAACGAGTGCGAGCAGTGAGCGTTTGTTCCTTGCGGGCACGTCCTTTCCTTGTGCTTTTTAGCATGTGTGCAGATGGTGCCAGAGGTGGCTGGTACTGGGGAAAGCCCTCTTCCTTGTCATTTTCTTTGTGCAATAAGAGTTTTGGAGTCATCAAGTGGGGTGCATTAAGAGAAATGTGGCGAGTAGGGCAAGGGAGGTTCTCCTTCCTCTCTGCTCTGTCCTGGGGAGGCCCCATCTGCAGTGCTGTGTCCAGTTCTGGGCTCCCCAGTTCAAGAAAGATGAGGAGCTGCTGGAGAGAGTCCAGAGGAGGGCTGCGAGGATGATGAGGGGACTGGAGCATCTCTCCTGCGAGGAAAGGCTGAGGGAGCATGGGCTTGTTCAGCCTGGAGAAGAGAAGGGTGAGAGGGGACCTTATAAA